GCAGTTTTCAGACACAGTTTTCCTCTTACTGGAAAAAAAGAGAAAATTCAAAGAAAATAATACACAAAGATTGTTTTCCCTGGGGTATTCTTCTCCATGTGGTGTTAGGTTTAGAAATGCAAATATTGTAATTAATTTTCCATACAAATTTGTATATTGATGCTTCCTTGCTTCATCACTGAGATGAAGGATTTTAAGTGTTTTCATGTGTTTATTGCCAACTTCATAACATCTGGTATTTTTCTTAATGCCCAAGTTAAATGATTGCCTGAGATTATCAGCTTTTGCAGCCACGGGTGAATCTTTAAATTGGAATTCCTATTCCACAGGTTTTGAAGAATGAGCCTGTACATAAAAACTTTCAAAAAAAATATTAGCAGTTAAACAAAAAAATCTTTTTGTTGCTTTTTAAAAGATATAGTTTTATGTGTATTTTAGAAAAATAGAATTTCAATTCAAAATCTTACATTTCTAGAAATACTGTGGGCATGGGTGCTCAAGACTGAGAAAAGAACAAACTCAATAATATCTTTGAGGCATGCTATCTCCAGGTCACTCCCAGAATAGGATTAGTTCAAAGGTGACTAAGAGAAAATGGAAAACTTGACTGTTTAAATGTTTTATCTTCTATCTGTATTATAAATAGAAGTGGTGACTTTGCAACACCAGCTAAGAAACATTTTGATTTATCATTCTGTGAAAGATGTTATATGAAAATTGATAGTAAGTCATATTCTATCAACTTAATGTTTTTTCTTGTGTACCATGGGGATGGCACAGTATTTCAGTTTATTTTCATTTCAATGTATTTAATTCTTTTGAAGGAAGAAGTTATATAAAGAGAACAAAACATACCTAATTGTGCAAGTAGCAACTGGCACTAGCCATTCCTTGGAATTTTTACTGCTGCCAGTGGTGAGTCACTTCCTGAAGACGTATGTGTAGCTGTTAATTTGCATTGTCGTACATTCCTTCAGTCCAGGATCGCTTGGCAACCTTTTTCACTTATTCCAACTACTGTTACCTCAAAAGTGTTGCAAATGGAAAAATTGCTCTTGGTAACCTTTTCTATGAAAAAGTCTCTTTCATGACCCAAGGATAACTTTTCAAACAGTTCTTGTTTTGGTGACTAATGTGCTAAGTGACATTAGCTGCAACTCACAGGCTCACAGCTGAAGAGCCACAAAGCAGTACAGGTACTTATGGGATCTGACCCACAGCAGCACTACTGTGTAGATATGACTTTGAGGCAAGCCTAGTTTCCTTTTTAAGATGACCTGATGGATCAAGGTAAAAGATCTAAACTGAGTTCCCAAAGTCTCTGAGTATTTATATACCCTCACAGATGTAGAGACATCCAATATCTTGGTCACCTCAAACAACACACAGAAGCTAACAAGGGGCCTCAGAACTGCTGTCTTGCTTGATTTGTATAACTGTGGTATATTTCTGGGTTAAATTCTAATTCTTAACATGATTTTACCATTCACTTTAAGGAAATAATGATTGAAATGTCTGAAAAATTATTCACATTGTTTCACTTGTTTATTTTTAAGAAATATTACATGCTTTCTTCAGATCTAATTCAAACAGGTTTTCCCAATTTTTAAGCTGTTAGATGGCCTTTTACATTCTGCTGTTCCAGGTATTATGTTTTCCTGTATATGTTTAAACCAGAGTAGTGTGAATCACAGCCTGAAGTGGATGCATATTTTGATTTGGGAAGCAACAGAGAAGAAAGAAAATTCAAAATAGATAAACAAAGAAAACGATGAAAGACATTTAGCCAATTTTTTCCACTTCATTTGGAGAAAGTACAGAACATTTCAAACATTTTAAGAAACCCCTGACAAACAGTAATTACATTTTTTGAGATAGAAGGCTTTTGCACGTGCTTTTCAGTTTTGGTTGGTGTGGAACTCACCCTTGTAACTGAGGGGACTACATCTGTCTGCCTTCCTGTCCGTCACCCTTGGCTTGTGGCTTGCCTTCCCTTGTGGAACAGCCCCACTCTTGCTGCTCCTTAACAATGAGAGCACATTTGTTTACCTGAAAAGTCAGGATTGGGGTTTGCACTAGAATTAATACATTTGTGCATTAGTCTACATTTCTTGGTGTTGGAAGATAAAAGTCAGTGAAATAAATCCTCCTCATCATCTCAAAATTATAAAGTAGAAATGGTAAAGGATTATAGAGGTCATCAAAGGTATGGAGTAGCTTCTATAAAAGAAACAACTAAAAATGCTTGAACTCTTTATCCTGAAAAGGAGATGACTGATATGAAATCAGACTTTAAGTAGTGAATGACCTAGAGACCTTCAAATAAATACAGTGCTGATGGATTTAAAAGACATAGAAGGACATGGTTCATGACACAACATGTCACTGGGTTGTGGAAATACTTGACAATAAGCTGTGGAATCTGAAAGTTTATTCAAAAGAAAACAAAGAATGAAAAAAAATAGGTGGAAAAAACCTCTACTAACATTTACTTACTTCCAAGGCACTTTCTTCAATGATAAAAATCTCAGAGCCACAAATCACCAGATGTTTGAAGCATCATTATATGCTTGTTCTGTTCTCATACACTTTCCTAGGCATCCGCTAAGGCACTGCCAGACAGGATGCTGGGCTAGACGGATGTCTGTTCTGACCCGATACAATTGTTCTAATGTTCTTAGCAGCCCCGGTTGACACTAAGGAGTCCTCTGTGCTGTCAGGATTTGCCTGTAGAACAACGACTTACTGTTTTGAATCTCTGGGGGGAAAATAGGAAGTGTCATTTCCCGTAAAGAATTCTGCCCAGCTTCTTTCAGCTCCGCAGTAACTTGAGGATGAATGCAGAGGACTCGTTCTTTTTTAAACTCTTACTTACAAATTTTGGGGGTTAATATAAGTTTTAAGATGGATATTTCCAACACTCTAAACCTAACCCTAACCCTAACCTCAATTTTTGTAAAAAATGATTATTTTAGAGTCAATTATATATGTCTGAAGATGTTTACAAAGTTTCCCATCAATGAGCTCAATTCTATCCAGGGTGCATGCTATTTGGAGTACCTGAGGTCTGGAAAAGGATATCAGCATAGATTTTGTACTGAGAGGTAGCACTTGCTCTTGGCCCTTTCCCTTGGATTCCTGTACTTCACTGGGCAGACTGGACATAGAATGAGGGCTGAGCTGGTTCAGCATGTTTGTCACTTGATCCTTTCAACTGACCATGGTCACAGAGGAAGCAGAAGAGAGACTGTCTGTAGAGAGATGAGGATGAGAACCACCAGCCTTGTTATCACAACTCCATTTTCTGCTCTTTGAGTGGAGTGGAGTGCAAATTCCATCTTTCATCTCTTTCAACTGAGTCATCCATCCCCTGTGGGAGATCACATTTATAAGGTGTGGGGAAGCTCATTTGAAGAGATTCTTAGAGACCAGATGCCAGAAACATATTTCAGGGAGGAGTATCAAAATAGAGCAAGCTATTCAGGCCACACTGATAAATACAATATATGGGAAAAGGTAGAGGGAGAAGGCAAAAGAGCAATTTGAGTTAATCTGAACGAGCTTTTTAGAATGTCTGAGTCAGCCCCTGCAACGTGATATCAAGATACATACAATGGTACTCAAACCCAGAACAACATTTCCATATTTAACATACAACTTTTCTGTAACTTTTCTATATTAATGCTCTGTAGCCCAACAAGATTAAGTTTTCTCATTAAAATGTTTTATAATCATTCTAAGGCTTCTGTATTCTGACTTTACCTTTACACCATTGCTAATAAAAAACACAGACTGTCTCTAAAAGGAGAATTTTAAGTTGCAGTGACAAGTATATGAAAATACATCACTTAGCCCTCAAAAAAACTGAGGAGAACTCAAAAGAATGATCCTTATCTTGATTTTAGGACACTCTTAGGAGATGATTATTGATAAAAAAAAGCCGTGCTGCTTTACCCTAGCAGAGTGTCCAGCTCAGAATTGTTTAAATGCATTAGTTTATGTGCATTCATACCATAAGAGCTTGATTAGATATACTTCCCATTCACAAATGAACCTTGCCTGCCTGAACAGGTAGGCAACAGTTCACCTGAAGTTGTGGTTGTAGCTCAGAGTCCTGTACTCCCTTCCGTGCTAAAACCACCTATCCTTAGGTAATATACACCCCCCCCCCACACACACACTGTTTAATTAAAAAACCTCACCCTGATATAAATTCTGTACTACAGTTCCACTGGGTATGTTTGCAGGTGGAAATTTCATCAGGCAGAGTGTCTGCCATCTCCATGTTATGTAGTAATGTCACATTAGTCATTCTGGTTAAAAAGAAACTGACAATAAAGGTACCTTACGAGCAGAGAAGTCTAAAAATCCCTATTAGATACTGGGGCAAGGAGATTTTTTTAGAAGAGCTGCATGAATCTCCAGTGAGTAAGTAATAGTAAGCAAAACTCTAAGAAAAAGATGCAAGTAAAAGAGCTTGTGATGATGAAAAATATGAGGAGTAGAGAAAAGAAGCCTTAAACAGACAAATGCTGCGAAAATGTATTAAAGCATCAGTCTGAAACCCAGTGGGGCACAGCATAGCAATTCTACCATGTTTAAGAGCATCAGTTTAATACCTGAAAATTAAGTATAAGCTGAGCATGAGTCAGTTCAGTGCAGCTGCCTCATCTTAATACTGCACCTCAGTCCTCAGAGAAAGACTAAGTAGGAAATTGCTCATTTTAGAAGCCACTAAAGAGAGACGTAGGGAGGAAATCAGGGCTCAGAAATTCCAGGCTTATATGTTGGTTTAGACCCTGAATCCCAGTGCGGGAGCAGCGTGCCCAGCTCCGCACAGACGAGTGTTGACGGCAGACCGGGCAGTGTGCGTCAGTGGCAGCGCAGAGCGTGCAGCTGCCGGCAGCCACAGCGCTGACGTGCATAACCTGTGCTGGCTATGAGAAGCCACCTTCTGCAAGGAGCTGAGCCTCACTGGGCATCTTGGATTGCTTTACCCTCTTAACTGCATTACTCAGTTTATCAAGTGTTTGCATTGCAACTAAGTATCAGCCGATACAGTAAGTAAAGTTCAAACTTGAATGCAGAAGGCAGTTCTGTGAAAGGCTGTGGATTTCCCTGCACCCTGTGGAGAGTTCATGCTGGAGGGGGAAAAGTGTGAGGAGGAGGGAGCAGCAGAGAGGAGCTGTTAGGGGCTGACCACAGCCCCCCACTCCCCACTCTGCACCGCTTGGGGAGGAGGAAGTAGAGGAGTCGTGAGTGAAGGGCTGAAGCTGACCATGGGAAGAAGGCAAGGGGTAGGGGGAAGGTGTTTTTGTTTTGTCTTTGCTTCTCACAGTTTTACTCTATTTTTAGTTGGCAATAAAGTACATTTAGTTTGTTCCCAAGTCTAGTCATTTTTGCCCATTACAGCAATTGGTCTTTATCTCAATCCACAAGCTTTTCCATCCTATTTTCTCCTGTGTGCTTTTAATGAAGTGGAGTGAGAAAGTGACTGGGTGGGGATCTGGCAGTCAGCCAAGGTCAAACCACCAAAGTAATAAATCCATGTTTAGCATGTCTGGGTTTATCACATCTGTCTCAGTGGAGCATAATGAAGAATTTGTTGAAGGAAAGTGAGAGGAAGTTCATTCTTCATCAGATTCTTTCTCATTGCTGCTGTCATCTAAGATGTAGTAGTAAAACAACATTTAGGAGTCTGTTTGCTAAAAAATTCACTGGTGTAGTGAAATCTGCTTTGCTCACAGAAGACAGGATCATTTAACCTTAGTATGGTGCGTAAGATACTGTCACATGACACATAGGTGTGGCATTACCTGGCAGAATTCTGGGCGTGTATTACAAGGCAGAAATGTTGTGATAGTCATAATGCTTCACCCACATTTTTACTTTCTTTGCTTTTAAGCTTATTCATTGCTATGCAAAGTTAGCTCACCCCTACCTGCAATCAGGAAAGGATACAGTTTCCTGAGTACACATATGTTAATTTAAATAAGCTGTTCAAAATTTCCTTTTCTGGTGCAATCTCGTTGCTCACTCACAAACTGAATGAGTCATGAAAACCAGTAAGAATCAAGAGTTAATGCCAAAAAGCTTTGACATTTCTGTTTCCACATCTCATATATTTGCAAAGCAAATGATACATTGTCTGTTCCCTTTTTCTCAAGTAACTTAAAAATCTGTCTTAACTACACTGTATGAGGTAAGATTGCACATGGGCAACGTCTGACATGCAAGAAAACAGGCTGATGGTTGGTACAGAGGAAATAAATCTTAAGGATTAGTTTGCTTGGATTTTTTTTTTAAAGTTTAATTTGCCAGAGATGACAGAGAAATTATTTCTGTTCAGGAAACAATCAGATAATGAGGAAAGGCCTGAGGCTTTTAAACACAGCACCTCTACTTCCCTCAGTGGAATTGGTGGTAATGGCCAGTAAATTTCTGGCAAGTTGTCTTTTGAAGGAATACCATTTACTTGCTTTAGAAAGGAATATTTCTGAGTCTGGAGGGGGTTTATTTAATTTTTAAGGTAGTTTTAAATAATTGATAAAGAACCGGTACTTCTATGGGCATCAAGTTCTGTTTCCAGCACTAATTCCTGCCAAGAACCCAAAGAACCCACACCTTCCTTGCAACAGCATCAGCAGCATCTTGCTGATGTCCTACTGGCAAGCAAAGAAGTGCCTTTGCAAGAGTTGTTGCAAGCAGTCCTGAGCTTGCCTTGTGTGCTGTCAAAAAGCACTCCATGTTGGTATTGTTCTGGGGTGGGGTACTAAATATAGGACTGTATATCATCCAGGCATGACCTGTTTCACATCTGAATTGCTTCAAGGGAAGATGTAGATCTTTTATGACCTGATCATAAAGACTATCATCAAGTATCTGTCTGAGGAACTTGGAAAAATGCACATGAAAGCTCTTTTGAAATTCAGAGGACAAAAAAGGATGGGAAGGTTTGGGAAGGTTTGTGAAGGTTTGGGAAGGTTTGTGAAGGTTTGGGAAGGTTTGTGAAGGTTTGGGAAGGAAAGGTTTGGGAAGGTTTGGGAAGAGAAGGTTTGGGAAGGGAAGGTTTGAGAAAGTTTGGGAAGGTTTGGGAAGGGAAGGTTTGGGAAGGGAAGGTTTGGGAAGGTTTGGGAAGGGAAGGTTTGGGAAGGTTTGGGAAGGGAAGGTTTGGGAAGGGAAGGGAAGGGCAGTATCTACTTGAAGAAGGCATATTTACTATCAATTTTAATATAGTTACAGTCAAATGAAGAACAATACTAAGAATTAATGAAGCAGGACAGGGATCTAAAGGGTTCTTTAAAAAGGATTTAACTTTTCACTGTATCTATCCTGTATTTGAAGAGCTCTGTATCATGTCAAAAAGACCATTTTCCTTTAATGTATTCCTTTTCACCAGTTCATTCACCACCTCATAGTGAGGTTTCTCAAAATACCATCTGCACAAAGTCCATTAGTGAACATGAGTAAGAATGTTTCTCTATTGTCTCTGTTTCGAACGTGAAATGTATATTTATGTATACCAAACATTTCTGATACTTCTGCATCAGGCCAATTTGTCAATGTGATAAAATCCAAATTCTATACTTTGTCATTAAACTATGCAGACATATTCAAATTAGATTTCTACAATGTAATTCTTTAGGACTTTTCCATCAAATACTCAAAGATTGTAGAAATTGTAGAAAATATCTACAAATGATAGGAAAAGAAAAAGACACATATTTGTTACCTTTAGGAAGAAGGATTAGTTTGTTGTAAATTTTAAAAGTGTGTCAGATGTGGAAACACATTTTCCCAAGCTTCTTCAGTTACAAAACACTCTCCATTTTATAGTATTTCTGGTATATTCTTGAATAGCTTGACAAGTTGAAATTTCTGTCAATTTTGGCTTTCAGTACTTTCTTTCATGGAAAGAAGAGCTGTTTCAAATAAAAGACATGAGATGAAAGGAATGAATCAGGAGGGAGGTTCCTTGGATAAATGACCTTTCAACTTTGGACAGACATGATTATTATTTAATTGGCAAAAGGATAGATTATGAATATTTAATTAATAAGACTCCAGTGCAAACCAGAGCCTGAAATAGAGACAGACAGATCTTAGTCTGTGATTATACTGCTCTTTCTCCTATTAATTAAAACTCTACTCCATGCTCTTCTGTTGTGTTTGTACTGATTCTTATAGTAATAATAGTTGTAGCCTTTCTTATGGAATTGTAATTTACATTTTATAACGTTTTTATGCTTTAGCCATTCATCCTCTTGTAGATCCCAGCCCATATTTTTGAATTAGATTAATCTATAACTGGGTATATTAAGTTTGTTGGAGTGGCTATAGCTGGAGTTATATGCCTCTATGCTTGATTATGCTATCAAGTTTCTCTTGATATTTTTAGTAATTAAGTACAAGTTTCTTTAAAAATGTGAAAGAAAATAGGGATTGATTTGGAAGATGGAGAATCATTATGAAGGCAACACTTATTTCTTATCTATTCTATTTTAATAAACTAATCTCTAACTCAACATAAGGCTTCATGCTTTTCCACTATCAAAAACAGTTAAAATGTTTCTGGAGTTGTCTCACCAACCGATGTCAAAACAATTGGTATTATTGTGTAGAGTGCCCTAAACAACAATTAAACATGAAAGACAGCAAAACAAGGAACATATCTTAGCACTACCAGTGGCTTCAAAGTTTGTTTTCAGTTCAAACCAGATATGTTTAACTTCAGAAAATTGACACTGTGCTCCTTGCTGATTCCTCTACCCAAAAACCATCTTTAAAGGCATATGGGCAAGCCATATGCCTCTGCAGTGAATGGCCAACAGCTGTGATGTCAAGAGTGTAGCCAGCAAGTCTAGGAAGGTTTAGCACTCCCCTCTGTTTAGCACTAGGGAGTTCACAGCTGGACTGCTGTGCCTTCTTGTGAGCTTCCCAGTAGAAGAAATACACCGCTCATTATCCTGGTGCCAGTCCAGTGGAGGGTTATCAGAAGGCTCAGGGGACAGCAGCACATGGTGTATGAGGAGAAACCTCTTGCCCTTCCTGAAGATGTGTGACACTTTTCTCATTCATCAGGAAGAATCTTCCCTTTTCCTCCTCCTCAATTTCCACTGACTTTTAATGATGACAGAGCCCCTTCTTACAATATAAGCCAGCTCCATCACCACTTCTGAACAACTGTGTGTCTTCCTAGCATTCTTCTTTTATCACACAGTCTCATGAAGATTTGAGTTAACTTCCAACAACGATGAATATGAGGTAAGGAAACTAGACTGTTTCTTGTTCTATTTGCTCAGGTCTATCAAAAGGATGGTTGCTTTGGTTCACAGGTAGTATTTTCATACCTCCCCAAATGGAAAAATGCAGCAATCTAGTGGGCATAATACTGTATTAAAGCCAAAATAACAGCCCATTATGGAAAGCAGAATTTTCAAAGGAGGTGAAGTCTCCTTTCTTCTTTAGCATGGTAAGAAGCACTTTGTTTTATGGCACCTAAGAATATTTGTCCAAATTCTGGATTTCTCACTATTTTTTCCCTGAAATCTCAGGTGTAAGCACAGATTTTAAACCAACTTGTCTGTGGAGATACTTAAAAACTATCTGGACAAAATCCTATGCAATATATACGCTCTAGGATGACCCTGCTTGAGAAGGGAGGTTGGACCAGATGCTCCCACTGGTGGCCCATTTTTCAATCTTACCCATTCTGTGATTCCATGTTTCTGTGAAAAGTTATGAATAAGACCTGCTCATGAAAATAGCTAGAACCCATAACTTTCTGTGCCTTTAGATATGTGAAGATAGAGGTAGACAAAAAAAAAAGTCAACACCAGAATGAGGCCTTTGAGAAGTCTAATGTACAGGCAACCTGTCCTCAAAACATTGAGATAGGCTGCTGAGGAGATCATAGAATTCCAGATCAGTTGACTGTAATATTTACATACTCTAATAATTACATAGGAGTAATTATATGCAGCCATAAATTTTGCTGGAGAAAGAGAAAGCATTTCTTGATACTTGTAGTTCACAGGAAAAAAGTACAAAAAAAGCAAAG